TTCTCTTCTATTTTACGTTTATATTTGTAAACTCGTTCGTTTAATCCTTTAACAGTTGGAGACACTAACGTTTTATTACAACGACGTCAAAAAGTAAGCCTGTTTCAGTTAATCAAGTTCATTTGCATTTTGCTTCAAGTTCATTAAAAATAAAAGTCAATCGTACCCGCGATTAATTCAATTTTAACTGATATATATTCATATATTTTATTTATATGATATCATATATTTATATGTTTGCATTTTAAAAATAAATTGGTTCACTTTCATTCATTTAAATTCATTTTAATGTTACTACTCTATTTCGATGTTACTTGTCAATTACTGAAAAAGAATCAAACGTAAAACATTGGCACACGAGAATATTACATTAAGAACTATCGTTTTTTGAATTTGAAAGAGCTTCATGGTAAATGCAACTCCTGTGTTATGTATTGTGTTATGTAATGTCAACCCATCGGGAGTGAACGTTTCGTTGATATTTCCAATTCTCTGCGATTTTATGTTTCCAAGTTTTACGTTGTCAATATTAAGAATTATAAAGAGCTCGCCATAAACTTTCGTTTGTCACTGTGTCTTGTCCAGATTTTATGATTCATCTGCAACCGCCTCGGATCCTACAATTTCATGAAATTTCTGACACGATGCGATATGTCGAATTCCTCGGGAGAAAGTCCAAGTCAAATAAACGTCGGACAAAGGTGTCAAGATGTTAATTAAAATCTTCGTCTGACAATGACGATGAAGCGTCCGCGTGGGAACGATCATTGGAATCTGACACTTGCAAATCGATAACAATGACAGAAACCGAGTGGTAGCCGATCGTTCAACGGTATAACGTTCGACTGCATGGTCGAACAAGAGCACTGTACACGGTGAAATGCAATTGATTCGCGAAACGTCACACGAACCATAACTCGTGCCGGTGGTTACAGGATATTTGACGCAAACCTTGTCTGGCTTAGGACAAATGCCGGTGTTAAAATTAATGCGTGTACTTGCTAGGTGAACATTGACGATCGGTTAATCCTTCGCTGAGAGAACATAAATCGGTATATCCCCGTTGCGGTTATTATGTGTAGTTTCTATCGACAAATTGCTCGCGAGGAAAATAGGTAGGATCTTACGGTTAGAATTGCACGTTGGAACAAATAATAAAGTTGATATTGTAGTTCGTACGTTTGAAGGAGTGTTCCACATGTTTTATTAGACTGTAATATCTAAAGCGTTTGTTTAATACTTAAAACTGTCAAAATGATTGATCTCTAAATTGTCGTAGAATCTTCATAGATTTAATATCGTAAAGTATTGTAAAGACGATATGAAATGTTAAAAATAATTAATTCACTTCAAAGAGAACATCAAATTTGAAGATACATGCATTCTCAATTTGTTATACGCTTCCTGTTCAATACTAAATTATTAGATATTTAGTAATTTACCGTTGGAGGGTAAAAATAAAATAGTTTTTGAAATTTGAATCATTTATAATATGAGAATAAGATTAAACTGTGATGAATAAATATCAGAATGAATAAAACCTTGTGTTTTTTTATTGTATTATAAATACTTCTTGCACTTGAATTTCTTCGGTACAAATTTTGTATTTTGTTATTTTAATTCTAGTGCTAAACGATTTTCAAGTTCATTGTCAAGTTGTGTCAAAAGTATGTGCTTACGAAAATCTTTCATGAAAATATTGTACGTATCTTTATTAGACCGCAATTTAAAATTTTTACGATCATAATTAAAGAAATGAAACTTGACGACTATGATCGTTAGTAATCATTCTACCACATTTTCTCTTGTAATATTGGTAATAATAAGTTATTCTTGGAAAACAATTGTCATTACGCTATGAAACATTATTTGAACGATATTAAAATATTTATATCAAATTTAAACTTTGTTTTATCTATTTAGTTTATGCGTGCATTTTCTACACCATCGAATTGTCATATTTCTTAAGAAATAAGGATCAAATTAAAAAAAAAAAAAAAAAGGAAAATCACGTATCCTTCTATTTGTTCACAAAAACGAAGCATTTCCTATTCGATAAGTGGCCAAAGATTTTTGGACATTTTTTTTACGTGCGAGATCGACTTTCTGTCAACTCGTCCGAACGTTCGACATCCAGACGTATAAATTTTGACGTCTGTCCTATTACGCGAACTGGATATATATCGCACGAAGGACACTCTATCCCTATATCTCAATTTCTATTCAAAAATATGCAGGATGATCCTTTTTCCAGTTAACACAATAACAACGTCACTGAAACGAAATCATCCTTCCCGATGTATGATTCCGATATGTGATTTATCATGAGAAGGTGACACGGTTTTCAATAGCAAACGTACATCATGCGATGTATGTATGTATGTATATGTACGAAGCACACAGGAAAAAGTACATCGATTCACAGCTTGCAGGTGACAAATTTGCTTTTTATCGAAGGAACTGAGCTGTATCAATTAAACACTGTATACTCGATCATTGTATCTATGACACAGCAGAACATTAGTAACAAACGACTTTTGTGATTCAAGAATTCAGTCGAAATTATCCATCTTACCTCCAGAGGCCAAAAGCAATCAGGCTTCTGTAATCACTAAATTCCTACAACCTTGTGAGTGGTCCTCCGGCAATAATCAGGCAAATTAGCGCAATAATCCAGCTCACAAGGAGCTGAACACGTTAGAACACGTATCGGGAAACCTAGATGTGCGTATACGTGTTCCAACGTGTACAGAGACCTTCATCTCAAATGACGATAATTCATCGAATTGGGCGCAGCGTGCGTGCATTATAAAATATACAACTTTCTTCGGTCTCGACGCGAGACGAACTGCTATGAATTTCATACGTGTACACGAGGATATCCGCGCCAGAAATCGGTACCAGAGCTATTAACAGTAATCGGATCCGGAGATGTTTCCTGCTGATTAATACGACCCGACACTGCTTCCACCGTGGACCTATGAAATTTCAAATCACCGCTCGTACAACTGATTCGTTGTAATTCGCTCTCTCGGTAACCCTTTGCTGCTTAGCTGGCACGTAATCACACCGAACGGGCGATGATTTGCATGCCCCATTACCCGGCCCCGTCACGCGTATTACTCGTAAAGATTAAAGAGCGTTCCGCGATCAGGTTGCCCATCGAGATCAATACGCTCCTCTTTCCACTCGATATTCTTTCGATAGGCTTTCGCGGGAAACGAAACGCGGAGCGCGCACGTATTATTTCGCGCGCACTCACCAAAATGGAGTATCGATCCTCCGAGGAGGATTCGCGAGGCTCGTGCCGGCAAGTTTGCCGAACTCGAGGAAAATCGCGGGATCGGTGTATTTATCGGTGCCGATAAAATGGATATTGTACGCGAGACTCGTAAACGGGAGGCAGCAGATGGATCGATGGATCGAGGGATCGGTTTTCTGTTCAACCCATTAACGATACCGGCAATAATTTATCGCGGCGTTGTGAATTATTTGATACTTTTAAATTTCGCGAAATTACGCGATCCAGATGGCAAACGTGTCGATGAAGAAATTTATACTGCTGGAGGACTTTTTTCTTTTCCATTTGGACGAAAAGATTGTCAAATGTTGGTTTAATTGGAATTTATTCAAGTTTAATTGGAAATAAAAATCTAATTAAATTTAATTAATTGAATTATATTGTCGATCGTCTCCCGTTACAACAAGAAGACATCGTATTTATCTAAATCGACAATTTAAACCTCCTTTCTTAACACGATTGTTAGCAATGTAAAATTTGAACAGATGTCTGGAATAAAATTTACAATAACGACGTAAAAATGAATGAATGTATAAATGAAATTATTCCCGAATCCTGCATTAGAAGACACTCGTTGAAACAACCAACGTAATTCGAAACAATTTGCACAATTTACAGTTCTTTCTTGCTTTTTTACAAAATTTTACAAAACGATGGAGAGAATTGTTTTTCTGGGAATTGGGAATTTGAATGAAATTACTATTATTGTAACACAGTACCATAACTGTGTGCAATGCCATACCATTTTATTTTCGAAGTGATACTTCACTCGTTACTTCGTAAAGAAATTTCTGGTAGATGATATAAGAAAAATTCCCGAGTGCAAAGAGTTGATGTATTGAAAAATATTTATATATTAAAAGATAGAATTTCATGAAATTATACATCTGTGAATCGAGGAAGCGAATCACTGAGATTTCTTTAGACAGGAAAACATTTTGAAATGTTAGAAATAGAAATAGAATTACAATATTAACTGAAAAATAAAATTATTTACATATTAAAAGACAGAATTTTGTAGTATAAATTGATTGAAAAGAACAAAATGTTGCTGCCTTTGGGAGCTTGTTTAAAGAAATGGAATCTTAGAATCTGTGTAGTAAAAGTTCAATAAAAATAAGTTATTTCAAAACGTTCGTTCAAAAAATATCAAACGTCTTATTGAATGATATAATATTATTGAAAGTTCAAATCGAACTGTTTTAATAGACCAACAAACTAAAGATGGTAGTTAAAATATTATACTACTGCTTTATAAATATCATGTTTATATTCAGTAAAATCCTAAGAGTTCATTTCTAACTATTCTAAATAGAAACGTGAACAAGTTTTGAACTGAATGTTAATAAATAACATGTTTGGAATATAAATTTAATTGTAATAACTATTCAATGATTGAGACGAACAAATTATCTGGTTCTTGATACAGAAAGATTTCTATTTTCATATTGTACCATTCAAACTGAAACTTTCTTCGTCTGTTTTTCTTCTCATTAGAACTTACAATATGAGAATATTTTTCAAAGGAAAAATTCCTAAAACGTGCGTACAACAAATTCCTACAATTTTCCATCTATGGTCCATTGAAATTGCCAAGAACAATCGATGAAAATCTCATAAAACAAGAATACATGGTACGATACTTTGAGAAAGATAGTGGCAAAGAGAGAGAGAGAGAGGAAAGACAACGTGTACTCACGCTCTCGAACTTGTCCTTGTTCTTGGCGTGCTGAGCGATGAACCTGGCGTCGTCGATGGTCTTCTCGATCTCGCGAACCAACGGCTTCTCGAATGTGGGGCTGACGTCCTCGTGAACGTATGCGGGGCTGGCCGGGCCAAAGAGGTCGTCGTCAGCCCCCGGCAGTGGCAGCGAGGGTAGTGGCTCCTCGAAGCAGGGCGCTACAGTGCCCACGGTGGCCACTGCGCCAAGGTCGTACCTGGTCGCCGACGGTGGCAGCCCGTGTGCAGGTATCTCGTACTCCCCGCTGAACCTGTTGCCGTAGTACGTGTCGTACTTATCAGTCTCTTGTACATGGAACACATCGGTGAGCATGCCCTCGGGCGGTTTCCCGTTGGTCGCCTCGACGTCGTCGTCGTCGTCGTCCTCGTCGACCGGCTCGCCGTCCGCTGTCACGCCGACGACACCGACGCCGTTCCTCCCCACCACCACCTCCTCCTCCTCCTCGTCGTCGTCTTCCTTCTTCGGCCTCTCGATCAGAAGGAACCGCGGCAACACTTGTATAAACACCACCCGGACCCACTTCGCCATACGGTGGGTGACGGGCGAGCGAAAGTTCACGTTCAACACGGCGATCGTCACCACCACGGACAGGGTGACCAGTACCATCGTGAACAGCAGGTACTTGCCGAGCAACGGCACCGTTAACGACGTGGGCGGTATGATCTCGGCCAACAATAGGAAGAACACCGTCAACGACAGCAGTATCGAGATCGACAGCGAGACCTTCTCGCCGCTGTCGCTCGGCAGGTAAAACACCAACACCGAGAGGAAAGATATGCCCACGCACGGTACGATCAGGTTCACCGTGTAGAAGAGGGTCTTGCGGCGCAGGGTGATATTGAACACGATATCGGGGTAGGGCTCCTCGCAGCATATGTAGAACGCCTCGTTCCTCACGGCAGGCACTTTTATGATGTCCCACTCGACGGAAATGTAATAGTCGGTCAGGTCGATCCCGACGTCGATGCGGTTCGAGTCTTCGGACTGGGCCAGGTGTCGTAAGTCGACCTGCCAACAACATGTTCCATCGTCAGTTTCTTTAGGAATATCACGGATGACGCCTAAAATTACGCCAGAAATTGCGTGTGCGCGATAAGAACGATTTTATTGCTGGATCAATAATTTTTGGAGATGAAATAAATTTTAAGCGAGTATAATTATGTAACAGAAATGAATATCTCTGGAAGATGGATTTCTGATCCAATCGAATCGTGAAATTGTTGTTAGAATCAGACGCGTATATATGTATGTATGTCGATGAAAATAGTAATGAAAATAGTAATCACGTGGAAATATTTCACAATGGTGTTACATTTCGATTTTGCTTGTTAACTTATTTATTTCGTTCGTACAACTATATCCTTTATTAAGTGACTAATTTAAACAAAAATTAAAAGAACACATTGCAACTCGCTTTACATGATAACGGGAAAGGAGGAAGGAAAAGAGAAAGAGGACGGACGAGCACGGATTTCGTGTTACGCCGTTACAGTTAACTCGAGTAACATGATTGCAATCGTTATAGTCGGTTATATTCCTGAAAGCGCAGCTCCACACAATGGCTAAGATGGGGGGGAAACGTTGCAAACTCGCGGGGAGGGGAAAAAAGCTCGTGTTCCCGCCGATGTTATTTGCCATTGTGCACAGACCGTTGATGCAACCAAAGTTTATCCACCGGTAGTTCGCCGGGGCAATATGAAAGAGTTGCTTACTTCTAAAAGAGATTCTCTCCGTAGAACCGGTTAAATCTTCCTCTCTGCGCGAATACCTCCTGTTGTATACAACCGCGTTCCTATATAAATTCCTCGACGCAGATCTACTGACGAAGTCTACGCAAGACTGACGTTGTTATCGTTGTTCCTGTCGGCCACAGACAGTCGTAGATGATCGTTTACTTAATCCCATCATCGTCACCGATAGAGTACGTGCAAGTAAATTATCCAAGGACGGCGATTACTTCGTTTAACCACTTGCGTTGGCAACTAGAGGTGTGCTAGATCCCGAAAATTCGGATCGGGAAAGGAATTTTTCCTGGAAATCGGGACAGAATTCCCAAGAATATTCGGGATTCCTGAGAATCTCAACAAGCCGAATGCACGCAGTTTCAATATTTATTTTGTTCAATATCGTCATAGTTTTTAAAGAAACTCGCACATGTTGTACAAACTGTGACAATATTCAACAAAATGTATATCGAAACGGCGTGAATTCGGCTTCTTGAAATTTTCAGGAATCCCGAACACTTTTGTAATCCCGAATATTTTCGGGATCCAGTCCCGATTTCCGGGAAAAATTCCCATCCGGTCCCGTAACCGACATTTTCGGGATTCCGTACACCACTGCTACCGTGCCGTACTGACCTCGAGATACGGGAATTTTCGGGATCCCGCACACCTCTACCGGCAACTGATTATGCGGACCATAACGAGTGACCGAATCGTATACAATAATTCGTCGCTTTCTTTTTCTTTTGAACTGGGTCAGTGTGATATCACTGGACAGAAATGATTAAGAAGTAATATACTTGTCGTTTGTTTTGCCTGGGTTGCATTTCAATATACTTAAAACTGAGATAATGTTGCAAAATTCTCAACTCTTGCGTGATACGTCATTCCAGGTTAAAGACTATCATGGAGCAACGTATCGTTTAATTGAAGCTCCAAGTAAGGAGTGTCACGCGAAACCAACCATTTCTACGGAGAATTACGTTTACGCAGGTTCACGTTCAGGTGTATACGTGTCAACGAGCGGAGACGATAAGGGCTGAGATGAATAAATAAGAACATTCCGCCTAATCTGGCTTTGGTGAGGAATAAAACGTATTCTGAAGGACGGGGCTGCAGTTTCCTCTCTCGCTCGTTGGAAATATCCCGTTGGAAACCCTACTTAACGCGGAGGAGATACGACGGTGTATTTTCTCAATTTTATTTTTCCACGGTAGATCCGATTGTTTAAAGAGGGCGAAGCAGGGGAGAGACGAGGAGGATCAGCCGGGGAAGAAAAGTCGGCGGCGAACGAAAGAAATTGGATAGCCCTAATGGGTCGGCTAGGGTAGCGGGGTTTTCAACTTGGAGGCCGTCTCGAATCTGCCAACGGGAGTAAACTCTGGCATCGAACGGAGAGAGCCAAATCTCTCTCCGCATCGAACTTCTGCCCGCTGCTTGATCCCCTCTGGACCACTTCTGAGATCTTTCGATAGCTTCGCGGTGGAGATCGCCGCGCGTTAAACCACGCTTCCACCCTCCTCCGTCGGTTGTATCACCCTTTCGTCCGCTGATCGAACAACGCCGGCCCAGCGAACAGTGTGACGTGCTACTCGAGAAGGAAAACAGAATCTTCTCGAGCACATCTTCTCGACGACGTCAACTACAGTTCGTTGGTTTCATCGGACATTTTGTTATCTCTTTTAATATATGTGTTATGGATTGTGACCGTCTTTCTTTTTTTTTTTCTTTCTCTTTTTTAGGAAGAAAGTCGTTCTCCAAAAAACACTACAATAAGTCTTTCGACCTCTCGAGGAATAAATTTTTATAAGAGAAAGGAATTCCAGGCTGCGTAGAAATTTGCAATTTAACCCCTTGCGCTGGCAGCTGGTTCGCGGACCATAACGAGTGACCGTACCGTATATACAATAATTCGTCGCTTTCTTTTTCTTTTGAACTCGTCGGCATGATGTCGCTGGATAGAAATGATTAACAGGTAACAAACTTATCATTTGTTTTGCCTGAGTTACATTTAAATATACCTAAAACTGAGAAAATGTTGCAATTCGGAGCAAAAAATTGTCCACATTCCAGCGCAAGAGGTTAATATGAAATTATTCAATATGGCATAATACGTAAGTCTCTGTATTTCCAGTTTTTCCAATACTTCTGAATTTCCAATTTCCAATTCGCTGCAAGGAGTTAACGACTCCAAACGGATGTTGTATTATATTTCAATATGTATGAATAATATTCAAATATAGATACAGATTACAAAATGTGGATTAAAATTAGAATATATCAGATGAGACATAGTTTTTAAACATTTAATAATATCCAGTATAATTTCACCAACGTTTGTGTATGTATTCCGTGCTTACTATGAACAGAATATTTCAAAGAGACAAGAGAAGAGAAGCGAGAAGAACAGGATTAATTGTTGAAATTCTCTTTTGATGTCTTTGCGATTATTTCCGCTGCTAGAATCCCTTGTTGCTGCCTTATTTTTGATTAATTCTTTTCCTCTTGGCGTCGTTCTTGCCGTATATCTCTTTCTTCTAGTGTCCCTATGTGGGTCTCTTTATTATTCGGAATTATCTTTCTTAGTGTTTTCTTATTACTGGAAATACTTTATTTCCTCAAAAGGCATTTCTCTCTTAATCTTCTTGCCTCCGCTTTCCTTATTGTCGAAATTGTCGAATGCTTTTCACACACAGTTCTCTCATAGTTGTTGACATTTTTATTTAACGCTCTTCAGTTCTTTGAAACTGTCTCATTCATCGTTGAAATCACATCTACGAATATGAAAAATTTCTTCAATCATTTATCAGCGATTTAGGCCAGAACACTGTCGATGAAAGTGATTGGAACTGATAGATGAGTTTTTGAAAGTCTACAGTGATTGGATAATTATCAGGAATAGTAACAGGATTGAATGAACGTTTTCCGCGTTTGGATAGTTACCTAGGAGATTGTTGATGATACACAGTAACCATAGATACTCGAATAAATCGACAAACACATCGAAAATCTAGGAATTATCTTCCATAAAATCAGGTATCATCTATTAGATTGTGTTCACACACAATTGAAGTAAAACGAAAGGAATAGATAACACCAAGACTGAACGCAATATACATTATTTGTCCAACAAGTCTGTCTGATCCGTCATTTGATATTCTCAAAGCAGACGAGAAGAGCTACCTGCCTCGTGGTAATATTCTCCGTTTTGTTCACTCGCTAACGCGAAGCGTCTTATCGATTATACCCCCGTCCTTTGAAGAACTTGTTGAATCGCGATTGACTTTCCAGAAAGAAACAAGGATAACCACGCCATCGGTACACGTCCAAGTAGGTCGACGATTCTGGTCGACGCTTGCTTCAGCCCGGCAGAGATCACCGGTAACGAGTTATACGTGATCTGCTCCGCGAAACAGAATTCGAAGAAGCACAGCGAACGGCACAAAGCGAGGAGAAGGATCTCCCGAAAGGTGATCCTCCTGTTATCCTTGCCGGTGTGTAATATTCCTCTCGCGACATCCAACAATTCCGTCGGCAGCAGGTCGAAGCCGAGCGGGGAATTTTTATCGTGGGAAATTCTGCTTCCAACAGCACGCCACGAGGCGCGACAAAGGCCGCTCGAGTCGTTCCTCGCGTTCGGCAATACGCATGCACGTATCTCGCGAAAGTTTATATTTCGTCGAATGTCGAACGCTGTTTGCGCGCGCGACGTATATGGAACGGATCGATATAGCTTCGTCTACTCGAGGTATTTGCGCCGCAGAAACACAGAGAGAGAGAGAGAGAGAGAGAAGCCGTTGATACACTTATGCCGCGGTGTTTATGAGCGGTCGTGTATTTACTCGAGATAAAATTTCGGCCGATGTTCCCGCGTTTCGAATGGAGAAAGGCTTCTGAACGAGCCACGAGTTGTTCGTGCTCTCCGAAATAAAATGTTTTTCCCTCCTGAGTTGCGTCCTAATTAACGAACTCCCTTCCTCTCGCGGAAATTGTTATTTCGATCACGTCCTCTCCACACGGTTTTTCTCGTCTTTCCGTGAATTCCGCTCCATTCGCGCGTTTCACTTTTTTTTTTTTTTTTCGTAACACTCGTGGTTACAAAGTTGCGTTCAACGGCGTATAAATTTAAACCCGATTACATTTAACTTAAACTTGATTCGTTTCTCTTCTGTTTCTTGCTTCATCGCGCTCTGGATATCGCGATATCTTTCCATTTTCATTTAGCGTAAAGTGCAAATCGCGTTTACTGTGAACACGAAAATTTAACTCGTCGTAATTAATTTG